GCACACAGCGGGCAAAGATGCGCCACAAACGCCGCTGGAACAGAAGCTGGCGAGCGCCATGGATGAGAGCGACACGACGCAGCTGCTGGCACCCGTTGCGGCAGTCGAGCAGGAGCCGTCGTTGCACTTCGAACAGGACATCACCGACAATTCGGAGAGCAGCGATTTCGAGTCGGACTCCGAGCTGCGCGAGACCAGCATGGAGAAGGAGGACAGCTTAACCATCAGCTCGAGTGGAGCCGGCGGTGGGGGCGACGACGTCAAGCGCTTTGTGGGAGACTGCGAGCGTGTGACTGAGGCGCTGACGCAGCACGAGAGGATCAAGAGTCGCAAAGCGTATCGAGTGACGCGAGAGAAGACGCCAGGCGAGTCGAGCCTAAATGAGCCGGAGGAGCCGGCGCCAGTGGACAATGAGCATGCGCTGCCAGCGGATGAATACTTCAGCGAGGCAGCCGTGGGCAAGAAGTTGGCCAATGAGCTGCGCAAGCGTAAGAAGCTCCTGACCAGCAGCGAGAAGAAGCGGCTGAGCTGCATCTCCAAAACGTCGACGGACAGCAACCACAGCAATCTGGCAGAGTCCCTAGAAACAGAAGCAACAACAACAACAACAGCAGCAGCTGCCGGCGCCGGCGTCCCGCACAGCGATGAGGAGGCAGAGCTGGCCAATGAGCCGTCAAACAACCAGAGCACCATCAATGTGGAGGATAAGCGGCGCAACCTGTCCCTGGAGACGAGCAAACTGCAGCCGGATTGGCAGAAGACGCTGGAGAAGAGCAAACAAAATGTGGAAATCTTGCGACAGAATGCAGCGGCAGCGGCAGCAGCAGCAGCTGCGGCAGAGGAGCAACTGAGCATACGCTCGTCGACCAAGAGCAGCAGCTCCCTGGGCATCGGCACGTCCAGGCAGACGGATGCAGCGCAGCTCTATCACAATCATTTGCTGCTCTACTTGGCCATCTATGATACGCGGCAGACGCTCTACGCGCTGCAGACGTTGCGGAACATCATTTGCTGCGACAAGCGCACCTTCCTGTGCCTCTCAATAACGACGTCGTTCAGCAGCGGCAGCCTGAAGCAGCTGCTCATCCGGCATCGGAAGAGCATCTCGGGCAAGGGATTCGCCGGCAGCGTTAGCAACTCGGAATATGCCCAGGGCTATCGGGGCTGCATGCAGCTGGAGCTGTTGGTCACATTGCTGCTCTTCTATGCACGTGGATATTTTCAGCGCGAGTCCTTGGATCCGCAACGGCAGCCGCCCACGCTGCAGGATGTGGTGAATAATCGTCGCATTCAGCTGGAGAGCATCGAGCTGCTGGCCCTGATCTGCACCGAGCTCATCGACATTGTCAAGGGCATGGGCCGTGGCCTGGCCTGCTACATTGCGGATCTGCTGGTGCGCGCCAAGCTGCAGAAGGTGATGCTGCACTGCCTCAATAGCTCGGTCTGCAGCTACGCTAGGCGCGCGGGCAGCAGCTATGCGGATCAGGTGCTCAGCTTCAATGATCCGCAGGACGATCATCTGCACGCGGATTGCTTCCAGCTGCAGCTGTTGCGTTTGCTTCTATCTGTCATACGGCTGGAGCATGAGGTGCATCAGCTGCGTCAGGATACGCCCAGCGCTGGCGCTGCTGAGGATGCGAATGCCTCGGGCAATGCCTCGCCCACACGGCTGGCCGAGGGCGCCGCTGCCAATGTCAAATACTTGCCCAACTGCCTGATCAGCCAGCAGCCAATGTTTCTGGCCGCCGTGCTGGGTGCACTGCAGCAGGAGCGTCTGCGGCACTTGCATCGCAACTGGACGGATCTGGTGACCAGTTCGCTGAACTGCTTCAGCTTCGGTTCGCTGACGAACATCGTGATCAGTGTGGTGCATCAATTGTGCAACAATCTGGATCGCCTGGCCAAGCTGACGCTGCCCCAGCAGCGCCACTTTCCGCCGGACTATGTGCTCTCCCAGCTGGAGGCACTCACCATCCTCTGTCACTATTGCCTGCTGGACAATACGCAGCAGACGGCGCTGTCGCATCTCTTCAACCAGGCCTACCCACAGACGAGCGTGGCCGCCCAATCCTCCAGCACCGGGCAGCTGCTCAACAGCATTGTGCATTCGTTTCTCTCGGCCAGTGAGTCCACATCGACAGCAACGGCTCCACGTAATCCTCAGCTGCAGGCCGCACGCAATGCTGTGCTCTCGCACCTGCCGCGCATCATGACCAGCGTGGCAGCCATTTGGGACAGTGAACTGGGTCAGCTGCGTCCGGTGCGGCAGCAGCTGTTGGAGTTCCTCTCGCCCGTCTCACTGCATCATGGCTGCAATTTCCTAACGGCCATCGCCGTCACCTGGCAGCAACGTGGCAGCACCAACGCCAGCGCCAGCAGCTCCTCCGACATTGCGGAACAGTTCCAGCGCAACTCCACGCTGCAGGCTTGCCCGGCACAGTTGAGTCTGGTCTCGCTGGTCTCCAGCATACGGGTGATGCCGATGGACTCGTTTGTGCAGACCCTGCATCAGGTGGTGAAGTCACCGCCGCCCATACACCGCCCGCCCGCCCAGCTGAGCATTGAGGTCAGCGCGTTGGAGTTGTTCTATTTCTATATGAGATCAGCGCCAGCGCCGCAGCTGGCCGATGCTTGGGCCTCGTTGCTGGTGCTCATCCGGGATGGTTTGAATCTCACGCCACCGGCGCAATTCGCGCTGCTGATGCTGCTCAATGAGTTTGTGCAGCGCTGTCCCCAGATGCCGTTCCCCGATAAGAAGGAGGTGCGCGAGCTGCACGACGTGACGGCCCGGCTCGTGGAATCGCTGTCTAGTGTGGCGGGCGCCTGCCTGGAGCAGACCACCTGGCTGCGGCGCAATCTGGCCGTCAAGGAGGACACCGATGGCCTGGCCAAGGATAACAGCCTAGGCGGTGGCATTCAGCAGTATTCGCTGCAGGCACAGAGCGTGCTGGCCAGCATCCTGTCGAACCTGCTGGATGTCGCATACGGCTCGCAGGAGAAGGACAAGGTGGTGACAATTGTGACGACGCTGTTGTATAATATAACGCCGTATCTGAAGAATCATACGGCACGCAATGTGCCCTTCTTCTATGCCTGCTCCGCCCTGTTGGCCAGCCTCAGTGGCTATCAGTATACGCGCAAGGCTTGGCGCAAGGATATGCTGGATCTGCTGCTCGATCCGGCGTTCTTTCAAATGCACATCTCATGCCTGCCCTTCTGGCGCCAGATCATGGACAGCCTGATGACCTACGACAATATCACATTCCGGGAGCTAATGACACGGGTCAGCCTCTCGCAGGCGGGCGGCCTGAGCATCTTTGCGCCCAGGGAGCAGGAGTACGAGCTGCGTGCGATGCTGCTCAAGCGACTCGCCTTCGTCATCTACTGCAGTGAATACGATCAGCATAATAAGTACATGCCGGATATTCAGGGTAGGCCAATGATGCCAATCTTCCATAAAGTTCCGCTTTCTTATGTTTCTCTTTATCCCATCTCTCAGAGCAATTGGCCAACAATTTGCGTTTGGTTCCCCTTGGCCCGTCGGTGCAGGCAGCCGTGTTTCTCTGCTTCCGTGTCCTGCTGCTGCGCATGTCCGCCGACCATGTGACCTCGCTGTGGCCCATCATCATTGCCGAAATGGTGCAGGTGTTTCTGCAAATGGAACAGGAACTCAAGGCGGAGAGCGACGAGCGCGGGTATGTGGAAAATTAATAACTCATACGTGGAATATAAATTCATATCGATTAACTCCTTCCCATTGCAGTCAACAAGCACGCCTGCTGCCTGGCATTGATGTCTCCTGGTCATCCTCCAATTCGAGTGCACCAAATGGCATCAACGCACAGACGCCGATGCAGCAGTGGCGCGCGGTGCAGCTGGAGGCATGCAAGCTGCTCGAGCTGGGCTGCGTGTTGCCGGCGACAAAGTTGCCGCATTTCCAAATGTATCGCTGGGCCTTTGTGGGCACCGAGTTCGATGTGCACGAGGAGGTCGTCTCCCTGCCCGTGCCCAATGGAAGCATTGAGAACTTGGCTGCCTTGCCGAACGCGCTGTATGTGCCGCATGTGCGACGTGTGGCACGGCTGATGGACATGAAGTATACGAGTCACTCGCCGGTGAGTAGGAACAGATTTGCAGATTACGAATATCGAATATTGAACAACTAATTCTGGTTTGCAGTTGTTGCAGCGTCCACGCAATCGACATCTGATGCTGAATTTCCAGCAGTTGCAGTCGCTGCTGGAGCTCTATCCGTTCTTCTGCACGCTGGGCGTAAGCTGCACGAATACGTGCAACTATTCGGATACGGAACAGAACGTGGCTAACTGCTTGCAGGAGATTGAGGATTTGTTGGCGCAAGATTTTCTGGAGAAATTGCCGAGTATTACGACGCCCAGATGAAAACTGGTGGCTGGCGGCGGAGCAGGAGGCGGAGGCGTGGGTGCAGCAAGCAACAGGCAGACGACACAGGCGAACATCCAAACGACAAGCCTAACCAAGTTCGAGCTGGAGCTTAATCTAAGCGGAGCAACGCCCACAATTAATGGTCAAGCGGCGCGCATCTTTGCGGCTGTGCAAGCGAAGCTGAGCAGCCAGAATGCAGAGACGAGTTTCATGCAAAAATCAAACAACAAGACCAACTTTCCATTTTATGTTTAACGAGAAAGATTAAGAGAGAGACACCGAGAAAGGGAGAGGGAGAGGGAGGAGAACGGCGAAAGTCACGTAACGTTACGAATAGCTAGTTAGATAGATGCAGCCTAGTATATATATTATACAATGTATTAATGTATTGAATATTATATGTTTATAGCTTGTTGAGTAAGTCCTATGTGAAATGTTTAGCTTTTAGAGTAGTGGCACACACACACACACACACACACCCTGTATATGTATATGTATGTGTATATTTCAACTGTTGATAGCTGATAGCCGAAGTAAACGACAAATTGCAATTCCACACCGACAATTCTCTTGAATTCCATATCAAAACAAATGTGTTCAATATTCATTTGTTTATTTATAAATACGTTTTGTTTTTCTTGTATAAAATGAAGGCACTCCGTAAACTCTTAAATTACACGAATCTGCTAGCTAATGCAATTCGAGAAAGTATTAGAATAGAAAAAATAAATGAAAAACGAATAGAGATTTAACGTGAAATGCAAAGAGTTAAGAGAGATTCAAACGACGACCGTATGCTGCGGATTTCCCTGACGGTTCTTCAGCTGCAGATGATACGAGTAGACGATGCGGGCGCAGAACAGGCAAATAACTGAAAGGAATTGCAAAGGATATATGAATATCAAATATTTTATATATGATTTTATGTTCATGTTCACTTACGCATCACCACAATGTAGAAGAGCAGCGCGAGGATGACATTGTTGAAGCCGGACGCCTCGCGATAGCCACCAAAGTGGAAAATGGTGCCAAAGATGGCAAACGGAAAATTGATGGCAATCAGCAGGGCATAGATGAGCCAAATGCCAACCAAGATATGGTTATACTACAAAGAGAAACAATAACAAAACAAATTGTTTAATATATAGACATGTAAAGTGGATGCTCAATATATTCAATATTTTATTAGATCACAAACTTTTTAAGCTGCCCTCGCATATAAATATGCATGGCCATGCCTTGACTGTTAAACGTAGAAAGTTAATTATCATTAGCTAATTAAAAGAATTGTACATGGCTAAAAATTCTAAGCGCGACTATTAGATGCCCTGCTTTTGAGTAATTAAAAGCCATCAGAATAATACTTAAAACAAAAATCAGTAACAGCTGTATTAATCTAATACCGTATTGACTGTTAAAAGCTATAGATTATTTAGTGAACTATCGTATACGAATAATCGCATAGGTTATATAGTTACAATTTTAAAAGCGACTGTCAAGTCATTGAACTATCGTTTACAACAATTGCAAAATCTAGTTTGATCACTTAAAACTTCATTCACGTTGGCAACTGCCAAAATACTGGAATATAGGAATACGGTATTCACAAATCCTATTGGAATATTGACTTGGTTATCGTACAGTCCAATCGTTGAGCTCACTAGCAACAGCTTTCTCATATCGTATACGCCAATTGCATGCACGTTTCTTATTGGAATGCACATGATCTAATAAGCTCTACTCCATGCAAGCTGATTCATCACTGCGAAAACTTCAATTGCAACTGAAGCAACTCAAAGTTGGATTTTCATTTGGTAAGTGATTACATCACAATTTTCATTCTGATCTCATCCAAGTCAAGGTATCAAATAATGGCTACGTACATACAAAAATAATATAATTATATGTATGTATGCAGATTAGGTTAATGCAGTCGGAGACTCGAAAGGGTAGACAGCAAATGTTTAATCTCATTTAGCAATGAATCATGTTTTTCTTGAGAACAGATGGTATCTACTGTGTGCATATGCCCCGCTACCCAATTGGGCACAGTTTTATATTTAGAATTTTTGTTTTCTTAAATATAACACTTGTTGCCCGTTTAGAGCATACATAAGTTTGTGTGTATATGTCTTTATTTGTGTTTTTTTTGGAGTGTAAATTTGTAAGAGCAATCTTGGCATTAAGATATACGCTTATCAACAAAATAGTGGGACCGGAACCATGCCCAAGAAATAAATATTAAAAAAAAAAAAAAAATATATATATATATATATATATGTACCATATATGCACTGTATATGTATGTAGTGTATAGACTTACCCGTAGACAGCCAATGAGCAGGCAAACATTTGTAATGACCGCAATTGCGAATCCAATAAAAGTCAGAGCTGAAAAAAATAAAAATAATAAGAATTAATCTCTCTCTGTGTGATCATCATTGTATTTAAAACTTGGCGACAGACTTGCACAAAAATTCCAAACTATCTATGTAATTCAAAAACAAAAAACCAAAAACAACGAAACATAAACTGAATGAAAAAATAAAAAGAATCAACGCTCGCCCTCGTCGTTGAGAACACGTTTCGAAAAGCCTTGTATAGAGAAGTATTAGCTCATTCTTTATATTTACGTATATCTACATATATACATACATACATGTATAAATAATTATATGTATCTTTATACATACGTATACATGCATACATTTCAAAAATGTGGGAACGGCTAAACATAACAAAAACCAAAACAGACAAACACATTCACACTCACTCTCACACACTCATAAAAACGAACTCGAAAAGCATTTCCAATAAGAATTTCACTTACCACTGGGCGCGAATAGCGTATTTAATGCTATGGAAACTAGCGTATAGATGGCTATGCCCAAACACCAGCTGCGCAGCTCTGTGTCGCATGGTCCACGATCGACGGTTAGCTCGATTTTCATTTTAAAATGTTTGACTTTATTGTTATTTGAGCTTCAGCCAAATTCGTAGCGCAACTGATCGTAATTCTCGACTTAAATGCACAACCGACGTACGCAACAGGCTGAAAACAACTGAATACGCGTCTTTAAATTCTGCTACGCCTCACCACACACACAAACTTGCTAGCACACACATACACTTTCATCTCCCCAGTGAGCGTTGTTTACTGCTCCACAGAGAATTCATTAGCAAGATGGGCAGAGGGAGAGAGATGAGAGAGTGACATTTAAAAATATACATATCTACTACATGTCTGACGAGTGGCGGCTTCACATCTCACACGTATAACACAGACTAGAACAGTTAGTAAAAATTTTAAAATTTCACTGCAACTACACAAAAGCTTTTGGAACAGTCTGGCAATGCTGTGCGCTCTTAGGAAATGCAACGCTTACTCACGATTGAGTGATGAGGTTATGCAAAGCGAACAGCACGACGTCATTTTTTGAGAAAATGGTGCGCGCGCGTTTAAATTTGTATGAAAATCACGCAACTTTGACACTGCTATTTGTTTCAAAACTAGTAGACTAAATAAAACGAGCTGGGCGGCTAATCACAAGTTCTATACAGATTCACGACTCGGAAAATATAAAGGTTTTTGCTAATTTTTATACTCTAAGCCGTTTTCTAAGCAGTTATTGATCATGCAATCCCTTGACCACTTTTACTTTTGCATATAATGGATTTAACCTTACTATCTAAGGCTTGAATTTGTAAAACTAAAGAGTTACTACTAAGTATTATGCATTTCCCATCAATCCGCATCATTATATGTACTAATTTCATTCTTTATATTACAAATCTTTATATCCGATGGCCATAGATGATACGCAGCATTGTTAGCCTCTGCCTAGGTTTTTAGAGCTGATTCAGGCTAATTATATGTTTCCTTAGGTTTCAATACTCATAATCATGCTAAGTTTTCGACTTGACAATTAAAACACCAATTTTATTTTATTCTATCGGATGCTTCTGACATGACAGCAGGTGTGAGCAGCACCTTTATTGATGCAGAATCAATGTGTACGTAAATTGACATAAATAAACAATACTGATGGCGAAAATCTAGTTAACTATGTTCATCAACCATTCCTGCTGATATTTTGGCCGTTTTGGCCTTGGTTGCTTTCGAGAGGCCTCCCCGTTCATTCCATTATATACTTAATTTCTTTACTGTATGGAAATAAAATTAGGGATTGACCATTTTAAAGATATTTACTATTGAAATTTCCTTATATATACTTAATTTTGGTTATTTTCGACCACTTAGCCGATTTCTGCTGAAGTGCCTACCAATCTTCAGCTAGGATAACAGAGCACAATCTGGAAATATGACGTTACAAGAGTTAGTTAGCATTAAAAGTATCGGGACTGCTCTTTGCGCAACCTACTCTGTCTTTTAATAGTGGAAGCTGTCATTCACAATTCCGTAAAGTTCACAATTCCGCAAAACAACAGTTAACTTACAAACGCATTGCAACTTGCAAGTGTGAAATCATTCCCAATTTCGACGTAGACGAAGCGAGTACTCAGTTCTAATTTCAGGTTAGTGTAATTATGTATATGTACCAGGGATTCCAATTTGTCCTTTTTCCGGACAGATCTGTCCTGTTTTTAAAGGCTTTGTCTGGAAAAAGTATCAAACATTCTCTATTCGGAAATCTGTCCTTTTTTCGTGAATGCGAATCGTGTTCATATTTTTCCAGTCGGTTGGTTATTTTTCCAATTGTTGTATTGTACCGGTATTTGGTTAAGAAAAAATTGAATTGTGTATGTGCTTTGTATGTATTATCGACATCGTTTGTAATTGTGTTCAATACAAATAGAGTGATAAAATGCCCAAAGAGACTTATAAGCAAAAATATCGTTCTGCATAATCTACAAATATTGTATAATTGCAAAATTTGTTTGTTCTTTTTTTTTTCCGTAATTTACGTACATTTTTTTTTTTTTTTTTCCAAAACAAAATTGACATCACTGATATGTACATACATATTGCATATCGTATATGTAAATATTTGACTTTTGCATTTCATTATCCATAGAAATTTCGTTTTAATTTGGTGTAAACAACAAAGAGTGAAAAATGTTGAAAAGATTCTTCTGCATGAGTCTCAATACCGCCGGCGTGGTGATCGGCTGGTTGGGTATTGTTGGCTCCTTGTTGGGTATAATTCTGCTAAGCACAATTTTGAAATTTAACGATGATATTGTTAAGGCTCTTGACTTAAAGACGTCTTCTGGGGATGATCAAATGCATTTGGGTAAGCAAAAGCAGAAGTGCGAGAGAGAGAACAAAAATGTTTAACGGAAATCAAACAATATATCTTTGCTTTGCAGCTATTGTCATCGGATGCAGCGTTTACTTGGGGTTCATTCTGCTGAACTTACCGTCATCGGCCCTGCTAGTACTTGGCACCAAGAAGGTAAATGAGGGAGAAGGAGTGTGAGAGTGCATTCTGTTATAATGTTACTCTATTTACATATTTGCTTTGTCTGCAATCATCGTATGCTCATCTCTTTTACTCTAATGCACAGGAACGTCATCTGATGCTTCTGCCATGGCTGATTAATTCTGCCGTCGGACTTGCCTTTAACATTGTTTATCACCTGGTTGTACTAAACGTCGTGATCTACGCTGGCAAAGATATCAGGAGCCTTGTAGCTGTTCTGATACAAATTGCTCTAATACTAGGTGAGTCACACTTGGGGATATTGATGTAAATACAGAAGTCAATTATTGGCGCACCTGCAAGCGTTCAAACATTGCAATTCTGATTACCAGACATTCGTAGTTTTCTTATCTTACGCACACATACACATGTACATTTTTTTGTATATATATATATATATATATATATATATATATTGTATATATATATATATATATATGTATATATATACATGAATTCTCATTTCTGTTTTAGCTTTGCAAATCTACATTTATATGGGAATCTACTCGCTGTTCAAGCAAATTCAGAAAACACGCGCGCAGCAGCGTCCACTGACAACTGCTACACCAGGCATGACTGTACCAAATCAGGGCAATACGTATCCCAGCTATACCAAAAATTGAAAGCGAAGCATCAGAGCAAATGCGAACAACTTCGTTCTGCACTGCGACACTTAACACACACATTCAAATACAGATACATAATCACCAGAGCTGACACTTTAGCTTTTTTCACGTCAGATCAGACTTTATTTGAAGTCCTTATGCGGAAAAAATTCGAAAGCGGCGGGTTGCGGGAATTCTGGCATTAAAAAAACATTAATTTAGTTCTATTTTAGCTTTATTTAATTATCACTTACGATTTATTTTGTTTTTATCTTTGTTAAAAGTTTTGACTGAAAACTAAAAATCATGAATACAAGTATCGATACACGATTTTTTATCATACAATCTTTTGAAATCATTTCGTGGTTTGAGCAACACGTGTTTGTCAACAAAAAAACACAAATCTGCACGAAGTGGATTTGCATAGAAAGAAAAAATTAATTTTGGGTAAACTCAAAAAAAAAAAAAAAAAAAAAAAAAAAAACACAGAGCAAGAGATAGCACTCATTTTCGTGAGGATCCTAGAAATAGGATTGGAAGCGTTAAGTTTATTATGATTTTGGACGAATCAAGTGGCAAAGCGGCTCAGTAAATAACAATGCCCAAACACCAGCTGCGCAGCTCTGTGTCGCATGGTCCACGATCGACGGTTAGCTCGATTTTCATTTTCAAATGTTTGACTTCATTGCTATTTGAGCTTCAGCCAATTTCGTAGCGCAACTGATCGTGATTCTCAACTTAAATGCAAAACCGACGCGCGCAACAGGCTGAAAACAACTAAATGCTCGTCTTTAACGTCTTTACTGCTCCTAAGAGAATTAATTAACAAGAGGGAGAAAGATGAGAGAGTGGCATTTAAAAATAATATTCTACTTGTCTGACGAGTGGCGTGTTCACGTGTGAGAGCACGTATAACACACAAAACAGTTATTACACATTTTAAAATTTCGCTGCAACTAAACAAAAGCTTTTAGAACAGTCTGGCAATGCTGTGCGCTGTTAGTAAATGCAATGCTTACTGCAGATCTAACATTACCTAGTGAGTCGTCTTACAGCACTGTTAATAGTCTATAATTATAATATGAAAACATTAAAAGTTCTCTCATGATAATACATAGGTGTATTGTATAATTGTATAAATATTATTTACTAAACTAATTTGTTAAATTATTTTAATCAAAATACACACGCGACTTAACACTTAAGTTCGTTGCGTTGGTCGCAAACGTCAAATACGCAGCATCAATGTTCTGTTAATAAATTTGAAGCTGTCATCCCTGCACGATTCCGCAAAACAACAGTTAACTTGCAAACGCATTGTCAGTGTGAAATCATTCTCAATTGCGACGTAGACGAAGCGATTACTCAGCTCTAGTTTCAGGTTCGTGTGGTTATATATATGTATATATAATATTTGTGCATATATAAATATTTGTGCTTTTGCAATTGCAATATCCATAGAAATTTCGTTTAAATCTAGTGTAAACAACGAGTGAAAAATGTTGACAAGATTATGCTGCATGCGTCTCAATACCGCCGGCGTGGTGCTCGGCTGGTTGGGTATTGTTGGCTCCTTATTGGGTGTAATTCTGCTATCCACCATTTTGGGATATGCTGATGTTATTGCTAAGGGAATTGTCGATAAGATGCAACCTCAAGAAGCGACCTATGATGAAGTACATTCAGGTAAGCAAAAGCAGGAGAGCGAGAGAGATAGAGAGAGCAAAAATGTTTTAGAGAAATCAAACAAGTGCGTTAAAATGCTCATATCTTATCTTTGCAGCTATTGTCATCGGATGCAGCGTTTACTTGGGGATCATTCTGCTGAACTTATTGTCATCGGCCCTGCTAGTTCTTGGCACCATGAAGGTAAATGAGTGAGAAAGAGTGTAAGAGTGAGGGGATCGGTGGGAGGGGATCGTAGAGTAAACTGCAAACGTCATCCGTTCTGTTATAATGTTACTCTATTTATTTGCTTTGTCTGCAATCATCGTATGCTCATCTCTTTTACTCTTATGCACAGGAACGTCATCTGATGCTTCTGCCATGGCTGATTAATTCTGCCGTTGGACTTGTCTTTAGCATTGTTTATCATTTGGCTTTATTGGTCGCCGCGTTCTCCTCTGGCGCCGAGTTCGGAAGCGTTCTAGCTGCTTTGATACCCACTGCTCTTATACTAGGTGAGTCACACTTGTTGGGGATATTGATGTAAATTTAGCATACATTCAAACATACGAACATTGCAATTCTGATTACAAGGCTTTGGTAGTCTTCTTATCTTACTCACGCATACACATGCACATACCGAGGAAACACCCTTTATATATTTTTATTTTTATACATATACATATACTTGAATTCTTGGAATTTCGTATACATTGCTAATTGCGCCTTGGTTTCTCATTTCTGTTTTAGCTTTGCAAATCTACATTTATATGGGAATCTACTCGCTGTTCAAGCAAATTCAGCAAACACGCGAGCAGCAGCGTCCATTGATAACTGCTACACAGGGCATGGCTGTACCAAATCAGGGTAATACCTATCCCAGCTATACCAAAATTTGAAAGCGAAGCATCAGAGCAAAATCGATCAATTTGGTTCTGCACTACGACACTTAATACACACATTCGAACACAGATACATAACCACTTCCTTACTTTATCAACTGTTATAACAGAGAAAAAAAAGTCCCCCATCTATATATATATATATAAAAACTTACTTGAATATATGCAGAGCCATATGTTGCTCAGAATTTGTTGTAAATTGAATGAAATATTTTTTGGCGCATTTTTTAATGCTTGCTATAATATAATATATTAATAATAATAATAATATATATATATATTTATATATATATGTACACACACAGATGTAAGATTGAAAAGTTTTAGGGGCGGGGCGCGGCGGAAAGAAGAGGATCTCTCGAATCGTTGCAACCTGTTGATGGAGCAGCTTATGGTCATTTGCCCAGACCCAACCACATGTAGCTGGGATCAATAAACTGCGAACCTCGATATCCATTGGGATTACGCGACACCAGCGAGCGTATCTTCTGCGATGGTCGATAGCTGCGCAGCTTGGAGCCCTTGCGATCGGACGGCTGCCCGGAATCATAGTCGGCGCCATCCAAAGCACCCGCATCGTTATCATCATCATCGTCGTCGATTATCATTTGCTGATGCGGATGCACGCCCTCGAGCAGCTGGGATTCCTCCTCGCCGAGCTGATGTTTCGACTGCTCGGCATAGTGAACGTTCGCCTTCAGCTGCTTAAAGAAATCACCCAGATTTGTCATTACTCCTGGAAGTAAGAGAGAGCGGGTTTGGTGGGAGAGAAAGAGAGATACTTCACTTAGCAACAGGTTGGACGGGCTACTAAACAGGCAGCTAATCACCAGCACTGATGGAGGGCTTAAAGCGTGAACTAGACTCGCGTTTACGTTTATAGTAGTAGTTGGCCACATCCGGCTGCAGCACGTAATCGTTCAGATTCATTGTCGGCCTATACGGTTGGAGGCCACGTTTCAGTTTTGTTCTAGATCGTTCTGCCGGAGATTGCAGCCATGTCCGATGCACCTGGGCCAGCTCCTTCAAGTATTTATCGGAGCGCCAATGTCTGTTCTTGTTCAGCGGATACGGCGGGAAATTGAAAGCCATGTCAACAAATTCGGGAACCATTTCCCTGGCCTCAATATTTGGCAACAGATTTCCGTTGCCATAAAAGTTGCTCGCTGGCCAGTTGCTGTCGTCGCTGTCGTCCCCGCCGCTGATGCTGCTGCTGCTCCAGGACGACGCCAACGCTTCCTTTGAGCTGCCATCGATGGCCATCATTTGCATGGGCGATGCTGTGGAACAAGTAGCATTCATTTACTATATATGTATATATATTTGTATGTATATATGTATATTCGTATCCACGGGGATTCATATTTTCTAGTGCCTGGAACGGATGTTCAATTTCCGTTTGGGCTCCTGCAGATTTTAATTGCTGATATGCACAGAACAAAAAAGGAAAACAATAATATTAATTGAGGGTCAATCGCTAAGCTGACAGATAGACAGACATACGTATGTATCCATATGTATGTATCCATGTCATATGCCACCAGACATACACCAGTTGAATCAGAGTTAATGTTGAACGCTTTTAAATTTCTGTTTCGATTTCATTAAATTGTGGAATTGCTCTGTTGAGTTAAATATTCATGCGGCCTGATAATGTACGGATCAGAGTTAGATTGATTGAATTGTGCCTGGTTGCAATATAATGTGTATATGTATGTTTATTAGGCCTGATAATGCTTGAGTAATTTACATGTTCTCATATTTTTATAGACTTATTTTACTTGGGATAAGAGCTGAAGAAGGCATCAGATAAATCAGAATTTAAATTTTCAATAAAATGTATTTTTGATATATTACGACAAAAAGCTATATCAAGTTTATATGTACATATATTTTAAAAGAATGCTTAATATATGCCAGACTCCACATAGTATATCATTTTAGTATTTCCAGCTAAACCCTAAATCCCAAACTTTGCTTCTAGTTTAAAAACTGTAAAAGATAAAGCTATTCCAGTCACGCTTCTAGTATTATATATATTATAATAATAATTATATAACTAATATTAGTGTGTGACTGTTCTGTACGAATGCATGCTTACAAGTTCAGTTCTTTATCAGTCGTCTATAGTGAGCTCATTTCACAACCATGCTGAATAAAAGTAAAATATACAAATGAAAAAATATTAACAAGTGTAAATAAAAAATTCCGATAACTTTTATATATAAATTTCATATTATTGTGTAATTCATTGATACATTGTCATATACATACGTACATATGTACATATATAGTCTAACTGAACAACTCCAACTCTATATAAAATTCAATCAGATATATGTAACTTGTTTTTAGCTTAGTTTTTTTGTTTTGTTTCATGGATGTTATTTTATACTATAATTTCTCATTATTTGCACGTCTCATGTTATTAATTTAAACTAAACAATGATCAATGTGGGGGGGTTTCCCTCTGCTCGTAAGCAAATAGGGCTAATTTCTGGTTATCTGTAGAGTTTATACTACATATAAGCAAATATACAAATATTGTTATATACATATATATAAATATATTCACAGATTGATGTTTATACTATATATGCAAAAATGTGTATGTATATATGTATATATATAAACAGGCAAACACATACAAAGATTCATATTCAGAGATGACTATTTGGAATGTGGCTATTTTTTGCTTGTGTAATAAATTTTCTGGTTATTCTTAATCAACTTAGATTTTAAATTAAAAGTGGGGTAAAACCTTTTAAATACATATATACATATAACGATTATTTTCATTCAAAACAAGTAATCTAAAAGAAAGCATAAAACAAACCGCAAATGTTAAGAATGCGGGGTTAATAGACTTTGATTTGCATAAGGAAAGCTTGCAAAATTGTTATATGGAGTTGACTGTTATACAAACGTATAACAATGCCGCCTTTTAAAATAATTCTAATTCAACGGCGTAAGTGCGGTTAACCAAATTGTTAAAATGCTGCCCATACATAATTATGCATACCTATATACATACATATGCATATATATGTTCATATACTGATTATAAATATAATTATGTGTACTATTATAGCCTGTTATAAAAACATACATACGTCATATGCATTGCCAAATCCAATTCTAAGAAAAAACTGAGGTCAGCTACGAATGAGTGCGGTTTCACTATGCTTTATCAACTTAGTTTGAACTTGGGTTATAGAAATAATATATATTTTTCATTAATACGCGTGCCTCATTTTAAGTTTTAGTTAAACGCAATGATTGTCGAGTCAGTTCTGCGCTAAAACGGATTCGGCTTAAAATCTGTTTTATATGCAACAAAGCAAATGCATTTTGTACGGTTTTAGAGAAAATGTTTCGAACAGCTGTCTGAGTGTCAAGTTTCTTTACCTCAATTAAAAGTATTAGTGAAACTTTCATTCTCATTCTAAATTTCTACAGTATTTGACTAAAGTCTCATACGGAAATTGAAAGTATTTCCCACTGGTGATTCATAATAAATGTTCTCAATTAACATGGGAATTACCTAGTTTCGATTGAGCACTCTGTGCTTTTTTTTTGTTATATTATTTTATTTATAAATAAACATTATTTAATCTATTTGTCGTCCTACAATATCAATGCTCAGCAACAATTTACATTGTGCTCAATGGATTCACTGTTTTTTGTATTTTTTTAATTGTACGGTAAAAACTTGATAAGTTAGAAAATTAGTTTTTTAAATAATTTATTAATAAGTTCATAGTTCACACTTCATACTCTTATACTCTTCATAGTCTTATTTCGTATTCACTCTCTTATCAAGCTCACACCAGTAAACACTCACGTTTTTATAACATCGTTCACACGCGTTTTATTAACATGAATGCCAACTTTTGGTCCTTAAATAATTAATAGTAAAAGTCTCAAAGAAAAAAAAAAAAAAAAAAAAAATATTTACATAGATATATATATAATAAAATAAAAATTCAAAATATTATAAATAAAAATGAAAAAAATTAAAAATGCTTAGATTATCTAATGCGTGGATCAAATCAAATAAATCTAAAAAGAGGAAAATAACATTATTTTTTATAAAGAAAAAATTTAATAGATTAAAGAATAATTATTATTTATAAAATTTCGTGGTTGTCTTACCCGTCATCAGCAGCAGGAACAGCGATATGCATTGCCTTTGATTGAAACATTGAAGCAACATAATTTATAAATTTATTTTTAGTGAATTGAGAAGGAACTCTATAATTAGAGTTTAGACATTTTGTCTAGTATGACTTTAGCTTTTGCCTCGGCTAAAGACTTGTTGAGCACATTATTTATTAGTTAGCAAATAGTAGAGTTGAGTTTCAAGGAGACGGAGCCGGAGCCGAAGCAGGAGCAGGAGCAGCAGAGCACAAGATCGGATTCCACAAAACGAGGCAACTGACAACGGTCGACTGATGGCAGAGTCGGATGCTTGAAGGGTTTTTATAGCCGACAGGCGACGAGCACCTGTTGTCCCTGCTGCCTCGGCTGGCCAGGTGGCAGGAGGAGAGAGGGACAGGCAGGCGGCAGAGGGCAGGCAAGCAACTTCAACGGTTTTGGGGCATGCGCAAAAACTATCGCATTAGCTGCTTATTTGAAACGCAACTCGACTCGCCTCGACTTAACTCGCCTCGCTTTAGATATTGTCTAATATGCATGGCCATGGAGCAATTGGCCAATCCGCCGGTGGGTGGCATGGCCGACATCTGTGTGTGGCCATTTACCCGTTGAGCAGCACTTCGGCTTTAAGCGGCAATAAGGCTCAGGTGTGCCAAAAGGTATACAAGTGCAATTATCATACCCTATTGCGCAATGCGATATTCAGTTATTCAGATTTTCCACACACAGTGTTGCCCCTGGCGGCGCGACCGGTCCTGACCGTTAGCCTGACGTCAAAGGATTCGTACTGCTTTGCGAATAAAAAAAAAAATACAAACTAACTAAATTGAAAAAATTTTTTAGGATTTGCATAATTGTGTCAGTGGCTAGCGGTTTTTCTACCTTTTGTTCTGTTGCTTTGAGTCCAGCTTCCATCTAGAGCTTGATGCTTGATGTTGCTCCTGTTGCTGCTCCTGCTACTCCTGCTGCATTTACTTTACAACCTAATTAGATTTGTGGTTTGGTTCTTTGTGACGCGGTCGGCGAGCTAATGGTCAGTAAATGCAGCAACATTAGCAACAGCTACAGCAACAGCAACAGCTCTTGCAGCAGCAGCAGCAGCAGCAACAGCAGCAGCTCAAACTTTTGCAGCAAGCCATTTAAAAGTTTCAAACACTTTTGCTAATTTGTCTACTTTGAACTCATTTAGCTTTTTTTGTAAAACATTGTCACAGCGTTGTGCTTGACGTTTTTCAATTTAAATTGAATTTTCCCATGAATAATTAAATAATTTTTGCAAGTACCTAAAAGCATGCAACACTTTTTTGCATTCACTGTGCAATGGCATTTGCATAACCTTTTAGCAGAGGCAGTTGGCGTATACGTTATTGTGTTACAATTATGCCATAATTACATTTTGTATATTGTTTTAACTAATGAGGAGGCCAATATATACTTGTTTTTATTTATTGAAATATACTATTAATGTTGGCTGAAAATATGATAGGCTGTAGTAATTTAGACTGTGTATAAGACAATTGTCAGTAATAATGACCTTTTGCAAAGATATATATGGGAAGATATTTTTGGTTTACTTAATATTCAAATAGGGTTGTTTATATAGGTAACAATTATTCTTATTTGTTTAAATTACATTGTTTTTTTTTTTTTTTTTTTTTTTTTAATATTAGTGACAGCTTACACAAGTTAGTTGACGCGCCCAAATGAGCAGAATAATTAGACAATAAGCACATAAACGGTTACTGGAGTACCTCTTATTTCAATAAACAAAAATAAATTACATCGTATTTCAAAACAGAAATTCCAGTAAAATTTAAAAGAACCGCCTGTAAGCCGTGCACTTCTCACGAAAACAAGCACCCTGTTTGCCATAGGTCATAAAAGTTAAAAGCTTTAAAAGCTTTACCCAATAGAACAGCAAGAATTCGAAGCTTGTTTTAGTCTCAGTGTAACATTACCATTTTGAGTATAACAGCAAAGCAGCGCTGTTAGCATTGTTTGTTATTTTTAAATGCCTCAGCGGCTTTTACTTTATTTTGTTATCAAAGAGAAATGTATAGTTTTCAAAGTATATAATAAAAACTTGTATTTTATTTTTATAAATCAGATTATTAAACACAAATGCAAGGACATGTTTTTCAACTGCGACATTAGCCCAGGTGCTTTGTCCTGAATCCTTAATTTAATATGTCAATTCAAATAATGACTCATCGTCCTGTAGTAATCTATGTAATTGTTAGCATAAGAGTGGAGTAATAGCATAGTTATATATTTAATGATGCTCGCTTAGCCATTGCTTGCCATGCTTTGCTCTACGCCTCTGGCTCACTTGCGCTCTCGTTGAGTTACGCTGCCGCTGTCGACGTCGTTGTCTCTGCCTTCTCTGCATAAATGTTGCGCTCAGTCGCGTTTGAGCTTTGGTGCCGTTCAGTTGTAATCCGCGCAGAGTTCTCAAGCCTTAATTTTGTTCACGCGACGCTGGAAGCAACACAAATAATTGGCTAAATAACTGTTATAAATTTACGGTGTGTGTGAACGTGGTATCAAAAGGATCAATACTAAAATTTGAAGAAAAGCTACAAAATAAAAAAGACAATTCAAGTGCCGTTATAGAATGCAAAATTCATAAATTTTAAATCCAAATAAACACAAAAACAAGGTGCGGCAGTAAGTTAGACTGTGAACATTTTTTGGGGTGTTGAGGGTGGAGTTGATGAATAACGGCACATGCCGCTGCACTGACCAAAAAGGAGATAGCAGAGTTGAAGTGAAAGAGAGTGAGGGAGAGAGGCCATGCGCAGACGCAACAAAAACAGAAAACGGCTGTTTTTCACAATTTTCCCGCGCTGTTGGCCGCAGGTTGACGACCCGCTACCAATATATATATCAATGTATATATAGTAGATAGATGTATAATGAAAAAAGCCGGCATATTGCGAGCCGCGATAACAGCAGCAGCAGCAGTAGTCAATATTTGCGACCCAGTCTCACTCACTTTCGTTCCCGGGGTGAATGGAATGGGAATTGTTCTACTCTCTGCTCCGACTTGTCTGATTGACCATTGCCAGTCGAAATGGAGGTCGCAGCAGTTACAGAAGTTCCATTAATTGCGGCGCACGTTGCGTATACGTAACGCGCGTTAGATTTACCTGTGGGTTGTCTACCTGATTGTTTAGCTGTCGCACTGGTTTGTGCGGAGACACCTACAACCACATTTCCCCATATTTGGAGCCGCTCTTCGAGTATTTCTTTTCTGCCTAGCACGCATTGGCACTTGAGCGCGTGTTTGGGGGCGCTTCAAGAGCCCGCCAAGCAGTTCAATAAAGAATGTGCTAAACAATCGTGTTATGAAGCTAAAAAAGCGCAGAGTCAGGTAAACGAAATGAGTTTTTGGGTTGTCAAGTGGCGAAAAGAAATCATACTTCAACAGTTGCTTGAGATTTTGTTGTGCATGAAGAAATTGTAAATAAATTAAGGTGGGAAAGTTCAGTTTAGAAAAGTGTGGAATTTTTTTCTGAATTTTTATTATGTTTTACAAGCTACCAAAAATTTTTTCAATATTTCAAATTTATAATGAAGTTTTAATATTAATATAGTAATTTGAAAATAATTGCCTATTACATATTTATTAAAAATTAGTTTAATAAAAACCATATTTAAAATTTAAATTTGAATGAATTATAATAAATTTTAGTCAAATTATTAAATCAATTTTAGATTAAGTGGTTCAGTTAAAGATCTTATTCATCCATTTAACCATTTTAACTAGAATGATTAAACTTATATGAAATATATAATCTCCGTAGCAATTAACCTACATAGAGCTTCTCAAGCATCTGGCTAACTGTGCGCTTAACTGGTATAAATTACCTCTAATAAAGCTATAATTTTTACCATTTAATTCGCATTTATGTACTGCTGCCATAGAATATTAAGTAAACGATGACAAAATGAGCTGCTATTAAAACTGAATTTGTTACCATTTGTATAACTTACGTACAGCTCATCTGGAATCTCTAGAGTAATAGATCTTTTCCTTAGAACGTTTGCTCATACAAAATGCTTTGCCGTCTTATTCACTGATCTTAGCCGTAATTGAAGCTGAGTCGGAGGGCTATTTCCGCTCAAGGCAAATTGCATAGAGAATAAATAATGAATGGAATTAAGCAAAAACTAGTTGACCTTGCTGCTGAGTTGTTTTGTTGGCTTCTTGGCCAATTGCATAGCCGCATCGAGCTGCGATTAATCATCAATGAAGCGTGCAAGAATCAACTTTTTAGCTGTGCTGCAATTGTTTCGCTTTATGGCCCAGCGTCACGTGGAGCATAAACAAATGCCAAATGTGGCCCAAAGCGAAATATACAAACTAATATTTATTCCGATATAAAAATATATATATATTTATATGAATATATGCTGTATATGTATATAAACAACTACAACCGGTTCAATGTTTGCACAATTTTCTGTCGCCAGACGCTAGAAAAAAAGTTGTTTTTTTTTTTTTTTCTGAATGGTTTTGTTGCTGTTGTTGTGCGTTTGCCTCTTCTATAGGGAGACCCAACAGTTGACTTTTTGTTAACGACTTTGCCGGCTGAACGTGTGGCCCATTCGTTTCTGGCTCATTTGGCAGTTAATTTGAATTTCACACACACCTCACACACACACACACACACACACACCGACTCAGCAGCTAAACTTCTGCTGAAGTGATATTTTGTTTGTTATTTTTATAACCATTTAGAGGGTATACGAAATTTTTGCCAAACATTTATATAAGCATAGCGATAGAGCTCTGCAAATATACATAAATATATTTATGTTACTCTTTATGTCATTTCAAATCATATGCATATTCCTGATCAATATCAGCAGATCCGTCTATACTCTATTACTTTTTCAATGCTCATTTGATTTCTTTGTTTATATTTTGTAGAGTGTTTCTATGTTCATATTTCATTGGATCTCAGTGCCAGCTCACATAATTATGGCCATCATAGGCACTGATGCTTCAAAATTAATTTCTTGTATAATCAACTTAATTGGTTTTTAAACATATCTTAATTAATGTAGATATTTATTATGTTATACCCCGTGTTTTAGGTACATATGTGGTTTAATTATTGCTGATAATAAATTGTACTTAACTTATTTTATCATAAACTTTTTTATTTTTATTTATTTATTTTTTATTTTTGATTCGACTTTTACTAGTAAACATTTTTTTTAAATTTACAAATAATTTTTTTAAGCTGCAATTTTTTTAGCTCTTTTTTTAAAGGTATTCCGTCGTCGTTGTGCTAAATATTTCCATAATTTTCCAGATTTTTTGTTTTATTTTTATTGCCTAAAATATTTTTAGCACTTTTTTCGGTTGCCAACGGAAGTTGCTTGAGCATCTGTAGCCAGAGTTATTGAGCTGGTCATTTGGGTAGGGCTATTTATATAGAGTACGCACACATATACATATGTATATTATATATGCAAACCACCTGCATTTCCAGCTCTGCCCACTTCCTGTTGCTCTCGCACTCGTATTTTGCATGTTTATGCATAAATTTCAAGCGTCGCCCTCATTAAAGCATTTGTTGTCATATGAAGACAACACAATTTCAAGTTAATTAAACGCACTGAGCGTCTGCTGCACTGAGAGAAAGCGCTTGGGCAAAAGTTAAAAGCTCATTAACAAAATATTAATTTTTAATTACAAAGTTTAGCAAGCATTAAAATATATACACAAGCGTTTGTTTTATTAAAATGTGCCCTAATAAACACAAGTGTTTTTATTTTATTTTATTTATTTTTTGCTCAGAGTTATGTGTGCTTAAAGTATATGGGTCATAAATCTACGTATATGTTATATATATATTAAATTTTTGGAGAATTGAATGTGCTTTCTATTTGTACTACTGATTTGTTATGCTTTTGTTGATACTCTTTTTTGTCAGTGTATGATATGTGTTGCTTTATATGTAGCATATATATTTTGTTTGTCTTTGTATGTCTGATTTTGTATTTCAATTTTTTTCCTATTAAAATAATATTTTATTGTTATATAATAATCTAAATATAAACACTTATATAATATAATTAAATTTTCTATATGTTCAGAAAAGTTTTGCTTTCTTCTCTCAGTGTATAATTTCATTTCATACAAAAATACCATTTACCTATTTTTGCTCTTTTTCTCTTGAGTAAAAGGTAAATATACAATAATTTCTCACCCTCCTCTGTTTTCGCACAGTGTACTCTTGGTGTGTGCAGTAACCACATAGAGAACTGTTAGTTTTGTCAGTTTTTAGCAACTGTCACTGAGCTGAGCCGCAAAACGCGCAACGGTAAACGCGACCCAGGCCGCGCTCTGACCCTGGCTGAGAGTTTTTAATTACACGCACATTGCTCATACGCCACGTACGGCACGCAGCTGAGATTTTTCTCTTAGGGTGGGGTTAACTGACCCTCGTTTAGTCGAAAATGAAGAAGAATCGCATGCGAATTGGTAACTGTGGCAATCCCACGGCTGCTTCTGTGTCAAGTCCGTTTTGCAACAGTTGCAAATTGCATGAGTGTGTCTGTGCGTGTGTGTGTGTGTATGTGTGAGTGGGTGTTTCTCTGCGGGCAGTAATAAGCACCTAATGGGGCTTCTTCTTCTTATTTCTGTTTAGGGTCCACATTGTGGGCATAAACGTTCATTGCCCTCGCAACACGAATGCGCCCTCAAGCATGTCATTTCGGCTGGGCCACGCATTGCAAACTAAATTGTCGTTAATTTGTTGTTGCTAAAGTGAAATTTTTAGTTTTTCGATTATTGTTGGATTTTTTTTTTTTAATTTTATTTTTTTGATTTTTGATTGCCTTGTTTAATTTCTTCGTGACGTACATTTCACACATGCCGCCGCGGCTGATGTCTGGCCACGTTTTGTTGACCCCAGAACTTTCGAAGCGTGTTATTTGCCGGCTTAACAGCGGCTGGCCGGGTGAGGAAGGGGCAGGGGGAATCGGGGGCGTATGCTTAATATGAGTACGTGCACAAATATAACAACAACAACAATAATAATAATAAAATAATAATGAGCATTGCTCTTTCGTTTATTTGCACAATCTGTCGAATTGCATTTCGCTTTGTATTTGTTTGTTTATTTTGCATGGCCAACCGGAATGTAAACAGTTATCAAGGGAATGAGAGATAGCAGAAAAGACTAAAAGCAAAACAAAAGCCAAAGCATAGAATTGAGTAAATATATACAAAAATCAAAAACAGGCATAGGCTGAGGATGCCTGAAAGCTGAACTCTATATAATATATAGCGGAAGTGTGGGTAACAGATAAAGCAAATATTATATAGAGCTGCTCTCAAGATACACCTACACATTTGAATAACTCTTGTTATTACCTGAAGTCTAACAGGAGAAACTACAGCTTCATTCATTTACTGTCGGATCTTATGTACATATCTTATATATGTCAAGTATGTACAAGTTGATCGATTGAAAACTGAAGACCTTTTTATTCTCTGCAATCATATTGAAAGGTTTTTTTATATTTATTTACTTTCTATTTATTTATATATTTTGTTTTTTTTTAAGTGTAGAGGTAAAAAAAAATTTTAAGGTAGCTTCAGTGACAAAGTATATATATATATATATATATATATATATATATATATATATATATATATATATATATATATATATATATATATATAAATATATATATATATATATGCTTTAAAAGAATATATAATATAATTTACGGCATATATATATTATTGAAAATTTCAGAAAAACAGAAATATATTATATACATAAAGATATTATATATATAATATATGTATAAAGAAAGTTAGAATGCCAGAAGACATAGACGATAGGGTATCTGCTAGTCAAGCTTTTCTGACTGGAATACTCACATTTATTTTATTATTCATTTGCATTCAATTTCAGTGTAAGATTGTATGCAAGAAATCAAATTCCTTAGTGTAAGATTGTATACAAGAAATCAAATTTCTTAGGGTATCTGCTAGTCAGGCAGCTGCCTTTTAATTTTGTCCAAGTATTTCCTACTTGATTAAGTCTTATTTACAAACTTTTAAAATTAAAATTTCATTTAAATTTTAAGCAATTTTCTAGCCCATTTCGCGCAACAACAGCAGCTTAGGGTATTTGTTAGTCAGTCACTTTCAACTGTCTGTAGTAGACACACTTTATTTGATTACTTTTAGTATGAATACGTTTTGTTTGGCGCTTGCATGCAACAACTTGTACTCGCTCAAAGCTCCCTCCCACTTGTTTAGGCCAGCTCGACCTTGGCATGGAGTGCGGGATATGCGCTAATGGGCCACAATCAAAGGAAACAAACTGAACCGCTGACCACATTAACGCGCCTGGCTGGCTGGCCTCGTGGCACAAATGCACAAATTGCATGTGGCAGGACATTTGTTGCAGCAGCGGCAGCAGCAGTTAAAGTGGAGAGGAAGCAACTACATCAAAGCGAGTTCAGCCCAAATCGTAAATACGTCAGGGCGCAGCTCTTAACAATGGCCGAGAACAATAGCTAAAGACCCCGCTCTACCCGCCTGAGAAGTGGGCAAGCTGAGCTGGTTTTGACGGCACTTAACCTACTTAACTGAGTTCGCTTTTGATGCTTTTATTTTACGAAAAAAAAAAAACTGAACTCGGTTTAGCTATGATCTCATATCCATGCGACGCTCCTTGCTGCGTGTGACCTAAATATTCTCTGGCTTCAGCTGACTCTCGGGGAGGGTGCTAAACAATTACAACCTATTGATTTTTTGTCTACTATTTCTTCACTTCATTTGCAGCTGCTAGAAATACCGGAACTGCCAAACTTAAAGACTGACATCTTCTGGTGGGTTAAGCAAGACCCACACGGAACACATTCAAGGACCAAAGCCTCTAAAACTCATTCCGAATATGTTTTAGTAGCTTAGAAGAACAAACCGCAACGCAATGTTTCTGCCTGTCAAATCGAATCAGTAAGTAAACTATATAATTACATACATGCATACATACATATACAAACAGACATACATACATACATAATATGTTTTTCCTTTGGAGCTGTGAGCAACCCCCGAAAACATTGAGCATGTTTTGGGGAGTCTGTTTGCATTAAACAACCCCCAAGCCAGCCCCAGTCATCAACTGCCGTCTGGCGTCATTTTGTCGCCACATCAAACGTCAACATCATCATCATCATCATCTACCTACTTAATTTCAGATTTTATACATATGTACATCTATGTGAAATTTGATTTAAAGACCTTAATTTGTTATCTCGCTCGCTTGCAGCACCGCCGACTCGAGTGGCAACAATGAGGATGTCACCACCACCAGCAACAATTCCACACAGACGCCCAGCGATCTGAGCCCACCGGGTCCCAATGAGGAGGTGCTGCCACAGGCGCACCATCAAAATCCGGGACACTGCATCGCCTCCTTTGCTGCCATCAATCAGATGAGAAATAATGCACAGGTGAGCAGAGAAATAGAGATACAGACTTGAGTAATTTTCTTTGAGGTTTATATACGGAGCAATAGAATAAGATTCGTAATGCTCTTAAATGAAAGTAGGGAATTTGTTACGGGTATAATATAAATATATAAGGGGTTTATATAGAGCTTTTTCCATCCTTACTTTCTTCCATTCTTCCTTACTCATCCTTTTAGATGTTGAGATACTGTTGCTTAATATATCGTTGATCCTTATGATCCCAAAGCATTAAAGACCGTTGAATAGTTTTGAATATATGGAAATATATGTATATATATACATATATATACCAATTTTGTTAGGACCTATCCTATCAAAGTTTCAAGGCTTCAACTTGCCATTCAAACATTTCTACTCTAACTTTTGCAAAAACTTTTGCTCGAAAAATAGCAATAAAAAAAGTAATTAATCCACATTAGCTCGCCCTTTTACTGGGATAATAACACATCCCTTAAGCCACAAAAAATGCTAAACTTTCTGATAAAGAATTAGCAATAAAAAAAAGAGGAAAGTTCTTCTCACAGCACATTTATGTAAAGAGTAAAAGCCTTTTATATCAGTCGTATCCTCTGCAGTTACTGTCAAACAAATTGTGTGTCAAACCAATTGAGGTTATCGGGACAGTGAACTGGCCAAAAGCACATGAAAATAGTTTGTCTGACTTCCGAGATATTTTGGCATTTTGTGTGTGCTTTTTGGGTCATTTGTTTGGCAGCTGTGGCTAAGGCTGAAATGGGACAAGTCCGGGATATGCACAATGATTTTTGTGGACAATTGATTGCTTTGATGTCAATGAACCCAACGCACCAAATTCCTTCCTGTCTTGGCCTTTAGTAGAGTCAGAGTAATTTTTCTGTTAAAAGGCTTTTTTTTTCTAGTAGCCATGACTCGTTTAATATTCCAAAGGATTTTGCCAGGACACGTGTTTTCACCTCCCCAAATGAAACAGTATAGGTTGTCATTCAAGGAATTTCTGTATGTCATGTTTTGAATGGCTAAATCAATAAAGCTATTTTAGCTGTTAATTCAAAGGCAAAACCCGCTAAATGCTGCGCCTGTTGGGTATGCAACGGAAATTTTCGTTTCATATTTTGATTGAATTGCAGCGATTGTTGTTCGCTTAGAATTTCATCTGCATTCGGGTTGAAATATTCAAAATAAATATGAAATAATATGAATTTTATTTAATAATTTAATTGTTTATACATTTATGACTTCCCTTTCTACTAGTCCTCTTTTAAATTAATGACTTCAGTATAAATTAATATTCATTTTCTTATTAATTTCGAAATTAAACAAATTTAGTTATGAAAAAATCTTTCTTAATAATTCTAGAATTAAATCAATTCAGCCTTGAAATTGAAACTTTTAACCAGTTGACAGAGGGCATCTGCGATAGCAGACCTCTTTCGATGCGCACAATTAATGAAATTACTATTTAGCATAATTAAGATTCAACAATTAACTTTTTGCGTGCTACCAAGTGAGCCAAGTTCGCCTCGATACACTCTCAAACAGCTTGCCGCACAGTGCGTATACATAATTTCTATATTTTTGCTTTTGTTGGGGCAGAAATTAATTGCCTAAATGACAGTGTGACAGACGTGTCGTGCCGCCCAGAGGGCAGCAGCTGGGTGAGCTAATAGAGCAAATTGCCGTTTACTGATAAAAGTATAAAAAGCAACAACAACAACAACATTTATTTACTCAGCGGGTGTTTGGCCTTAAAGCGATATGCAAAGCAAAACCGACTTCGCCCTCAGCCGCATGACGTGTGCGACACAAATTTAAATAAAACAAATACATATATATACATATATGTATGTTTATATACGATATCCAGCAATATAAGAGATTGTTACAAATTATTGCAGAGCCATTAAAAATAGATATTAATCGAGTGCAGTGACTCGTCAAGTGGGGAGCGAGCGCGCTGCTTCATCAAAGTTATTTATGACGAGACGCATCGAGTGTCTGGCACTAAGAGTGGAAGCGTTTCACTTGTAAGGCTTCAATAGGGATAACGCACAGTGGTGTGGTAGTTGATGAAAGTTGGATAGAAAGCCTTGAGAAGGTATTGATTGATGGAAATTGTAGAGAATCTCTTAAAATTAAATAGAATTTTAAGCATATGCCTAATAGGAATTTATTTTAAAAATATTTCATCTCAATGCTAGGCTTTTATTAGACTATATTGCTCACATTAAAAAAAAAATAAAAATTTTGTTATATTTACATATAATATAGAATTATATATTATACCTTATTAAAAGCATTTTTAAAATTTTGTATTTCCATTCTAAAAAACTCTTCAATTGACTTTGGCAATTACATTTTGACAATACATTTTAGTTAAATATTTAACAGTATTGTAATGGAGAGTAACTGCCTAATAAATACCTTGAGCTTTGCGCAGAGATCTAGTAGGGAGTAACTGACTATTAGATACCTCGAGTTCTAATTTAATTGCTATATTTTCAATTTATAATAAAATTTAAATTCATATAAAGCGAGTAGAATGGGGGTCTGAGGTATATTTTAGTCGGTGACTGTGGAGAGTAGAACTCTTGCTACAGCCGCTATTCCAATCATTTCCATTCCCTTTTCCCATCTTCAATTGCTACCATTTTCATGCCATTCCAACCCACTGTGCGCTCCCTTCGCATATGCTGTTGCTTAGGCTGTGAAATTGAGCACGTATCTCTGTGCAGGACTTTGTTAATCGGATTTGTGTAAGACGAGTCTCTGTGTGCGCCTTGAGTATTGCGCCTCGTCGATTTCACGCCCTGTGCTTCATGTGTCAATGATATTTGTTGCCTTTTGCTTCTTCTGCTTGCAGCTCTGCGATGTGCGCCTCGAGGTGGGCGGCGAGACCATCAATGCGCATCGCGTGGTGTTGGCTTCCGTCTCGCCTTACTTCTATGCCATGTTCAATGGTAAGTGAAGCAGTTAAGAGCTGCAAGAGTGGCAGATCGGACTTTAAGTACTTCTATTTTCCTTTGACAGATGATATGCTCGAGCGTACACAGGGCCTGGTGCGTCTGCATGATGTGGACAGCTCGGCGCTGCGTCAGCTGATCGACTACACCTACACAGGTGAGATAACCATAACGGAGCAGAATGTCCAGGTGCTGCTGCCGGCATCGGGTCTGCTGCAGATGCACTCGGTGCGTGATGCTTGCTGCAAGTTTCTGCTGCGCCAGCTGCATCCATCCAACTGCCTGGGCATACGCAGCTTCGCCGATGCCCACTCCTGCAAGGAGCTGCACACACGCTCCCACAAATATGCGCTGCAGAACTTCCAGCAGGTGGTGGGAACGGAGGAGTTTCTGCTGCTGCCCTTCGAGGAGGTCAAGGAATTGATATCGAACAGCCAGCTGAACATTAGCTCCGAGGAGAAGGTGTTTATGGGCGTGCTGAGCTGGGTGAAACACGATCTGGCCAACCGTCGACTGCACATTGCCGAGCTCATGTCACATGTTCGCTTGCCTCTGGTCAGCCGCGATTTCCTGATGAGCTGCGTCGAGACGGAGACACTGATGCGTGACGACTCCGAGTGCAAGGAGCTGCTGCTGGAGGCCATGAAATACCATTTGCTGCCGGAGCAGCGCAGCCTGATGGGCAGCCAGCGCACCCAGGAGCGACGGCCCGAGGGCATGAGACCCTACATCTTTGCCGTGGGCGGTGGCAGTCTCTTTGCCATACACAACGAGTGCGAGGTCTATAATCCGCGCTGCAACAGCTGGTCGCCCGTGGCGCCGATGCTCTGGCGTCGCTCCCGCTCCGGTGTTACTTCGCTGCACAAGCAGCTCTATGTGGTGGGCGGCTATGATGGAGTCAGTGACCTGGCCACGGCCGAGTCCTACAATCCGTTGACCAACAAGTGGAGCAACATCACACCGATGGGCACCAAGCGCAGCTGCCTGGGCATCTGTGCCTACGATGGCCTGATCTTTGTCTGCGGCGGCTACGATGGCGCCTCCTGCTTGAGCAGCATGGAGCGATACGATCCACTGACGGGCATCTGGAGCTCCTGCCCGGCCATGAGCACGCGACGTCGCTACTGTCGCCTGGCCGTGCTGGAGAATCAAATCTATAGCCTGGGCGGCTTCGACTCCACCAACTATCAGTCGAGCGTGGAGCGCTTCGATCCACGCGTGGGTCGCTGGCAGCCCGTGCCCAGCATGACGGCTCGGCGCAGCAGCTGTGGCGTCGCCTCCACCGATGGCCATCTGTACTGCATTGGCGGCAACGATGGCACCATGTGCATGTCCAGCGGCGAACGATTCAATTTGCGGCGCAACTGCTGGGAGCCCATAGCAGCGATGCATTCGCGCAGGTGAGCTGAACTGAGAGAGCTTAGACTCTAACCTGAACCTCTATTGACATCCCTGTCCATTTGCAGATCCACGCATGAGGTGGTGGAGGTGGAGGGCGTGCTGTTTGCATTGGGCGGCAACGATGGCAGCTCCTCGCTGAACTCTGTGGAGCGCTACGATCCGCGGCTGAACAAGTGGAGCGTGGTGAATGCGATGGTGGCGCGTCGCAGCTCTGTGGGCGCGGCGGTGCTGGAGTGCTTCCATTTGGAGCGCGGACTGGTGCAGACGACGAACTTATGACCCCCTCCGCCGCTGAGCAGCATCAGCGAATCCTTCGCCGCTGCCACAGCGAACGGCGCTAGCAGCAGCAGCGGCACCAGTGGAACTCTGAATGTGCCCAGCCGGGCTGAGGCCGCTGCTTTTACGGCCAACATTGCTTTGAGCTCCTCGGCGCCTTCGGCTAGCTCCACATTGCGTCGCCATCGACGTGAGACGCCAGCGCTGGCAGAGAGTCGGCGTGCCAATAGCAATGCCAGCAGCAGCAGCAGCAACGGCAGCAGCAGCGGCAACAACAGCGAGAGCAGCACCGTTGGCACAGGTGGGAAAACACCGGCGACCGCCTGATCCTGGTCGATGTCGAGCTGGCGACATCCCTAAACAAAATCACACTAAACTAACATATATACAAAGCTAACCCCAACGCGCCTATGGCAGGAATTATGATTGATTGATTGTTCGAGTTCGTTATTATAAATAGATATGATATGATATGATATAGTAGATATATATATATGAGCATTGCTATGGGAATAGCTAATGGCGTCTTAACTGAGAAATCAGGCCACATTTTTATTGCTCAAGTAGTAGATCAACAAAACAACACCAAAAATTAATCAATTTGTATTTAAAGTGTTTGTTCCACAATTCGACTTCGAATTCGAAATCGAATACACTTTAAATACATCAAGTTCTATTGTTAGGCTTATGCAAAGGATTTGATATAGAGTTTATATAGTGTAGTAGAATATTCCCTATTCCAATTTTCCAGCAAACTTTGATAATTCTAGTGTATTCATTATCACTAGAATTTGTAAGCTGTACTGCATGGAATTTACTTTATAAACGAGCTATATAACTCACTGAACCACAATTTGAAATTTTACTTTACAGCATAAGCATAACAATAGATATATATATATATAGACATATATATAAATATACACACACATATTTCTAGTCAAGATCTCGCACGAACTTAAAAACACTCCCATATGTAATAGCGATACAAGGAAGGAACCTAATCTGCCTACAATTTATACATTGAATCTATCTATACATACATATTATAAATTATACTATATATATATACATACGATTATATATATATATACACCACACCACTCTCTTATGTACTATTCTTATGTATTTTATACATGCAATTATTATAACATATAAGTAAATGTTTCGTATTTGATGAAATTGAAAATTTCATAGATAATTTTTCCAAGGGCTCCACGAATTGAAGATTTTTATAGTTATTTGTATATATATATATATATGATATATATATTTGGTCTGTGTAGGTTCTTGCTTTGTACTGGGGCTTTGAGTTATTGCTCGTCTGTTTCTGGTTGGTTTCCTCATCGGGCGATCATTCAGAGTATGCGGTCGGCGGTGCTGCGTGCCACATCGCCCACATTCGCATTCGAGTCGACGGCGGTTCCTATTTTGCGTGCGTCTAGCCAATTCTTGGGCAAGCCGGTGCCAACTGTGAAAGGTGTAAGGTTTTAAGGTATTTTGGAAAAACAAGTTATGTTGTTTTATTTTAAACATCAATTTGTTGCTTAGGGGTTTTTCGACATGGTTTTTCTCAATGCGCATTTATTAACAGTTTCTTTCTTTTTTCATGATGAACTCTTGAATGGGACAAAACGCTAAATGCTGCAGCAATAAAGCCGCTTGCTACACACCTGTGCGTACCTTGCTTCGTCTCAGTTCAGCAATGCGACAACGATATGAAATGAAGTTGTTGACGCATTGCAAGCTGAATGCAAATGTGATGAAAAATTACGTGAAGCAAAGGTAAACCGAAGGCGGGCAATCGAAGAAAATAGAAGATTATATATGTATATAACTAAACGGAACTTAGGCACTAGGCTTATATATGTATGCAATTCGCGTAATGAAACAATTTTAAACAATCGCATTGAAATTTGATTTGAACAATTATCTTATGGTATTATATATAGCCCGCTTACTTAATCCAGATGTGGAACTGCGTTTGCGCGTTTTCGCATTTTAAAAAGTGGAAAGAAAAACAGAAACGAATTTGGCAAAGAGAAAAAAGAGAAATATATAGAGAGATATAAGGTGAAACGATTTAAGAAATTAGTTATACACGCTCTATATATATGTAGATAAATGTCTAAAATTGTTTTTGGCCAATGCTCGAAACCAAAAACCAATCAAATTTTTGTAGTTTTTTCCATGTGTTTGTTTGTAACTTAAATGTGTTAACTCAATGACGAAACGAGTTATTTACTTTTGTAAACCTTCTCAGTCATATCATCGAAACCAGAGTCCTGAATGTTCAACATCAAGCTATCAGCGGACAAATAAACCTTGTTCTGTGAGCTGGCAATCTGTGGAGGAAAAAATGCAATCATAAATTCCTTGTTTTCCTTTTCTAGAGAGTGTACTTACCGTGCGGGCAATGCTCTGGGCGGCACGCAGTTTGCGCAACTTGAGATAAGCTGGATTCTGTTTGACAGCCAGACCTAAGTAAACATGACAGTTAAGGTGCAAACCAAGTGCAAGAAATATATATGAAAAAATAAAATAAAATAAGTAGTGCTAAACATATATAAAATGCCTAGCTAAATGGTTTGTTTTGTAAAAAGGATATCATTTTAGCTGCCTCAGCTTCTCCCTCAGCTTGGACAATTTTCTGTTGTTTCTCCTGTTTGGCACGCTCTACAAAGAAGACAGCGCGCTGCGCCTCTTGCTGTGCCACCTGTTTGGCCTCAATAGCTGCCGTATATTCCTTGCCAAAGCTCAGTTCAGTCAGCGAAACATCATCCAAAATAATATTAAAGTCACGCGCGCGCTCCACCAGCTCCTTGCGTATCAGCAGCGAGACCTAAAAAACGGAATTCATTAAAGTTTACAAATCGAAAAAGAACTGCGCAATTAGGAATGAGCAGAATAGTTGAAGAGTGTAAGTAATTTTCTCTTTCGATCGGTTTGAGAGCCATACGCTTTGAGAGAGCGAGTGAATAAGAACGACTGGCAATTACTCAACATTGGTTGCGCTCTAGCAGAGCGAGTGAATAAGGAAGCCTAACGAGTGTGCATCTAAGTATTTGCATTTGCGAGGCTTCATTAAACATTCTCTCTCTTTCTCGCTTCCTCTGCGCGCATTGTAAGGGGTGGGAGTTGGTGCAGATAATTTGTATTTACGCTCTACAGCCCATCTCCATGTGTTTTACTCTTTACATACCTGTTGACGTTGTGTAATCAGCTGGGAGGCATTGAACTTGGCAATAACACTCTTGAGCACCTCATTGCAAATGGAAGGCAATACCTTCTCGTCGTAGTCGACACCCAGTTGTTTGTGCAGGAACGGTAAATTCAATGAATCGGGACGCGACAACACACGCAGCGAAATATTGATCATTTGCAAATCTTTCGAGCCGGTGGGCGATGAAATTTTACGGGGACGCGAGCGGATGTCATAAATAATTGGATATTGGATCCATGGAATGCGCACATGCAGACCCTCAGAGTAAATGTCATTCTGGATGCCACCCAGGCGGCTGAAGATGATCGCGCGATGACCGCCCTCCACTGCAAAGAGAGAAAAAACATTTAGAGTTGTTATGCAACAGAAACCGAGTGTGCTACAGACACTCGCTTGAAGTGTTATCAATGAAACTGCAGTTCCAATTGGATGATACTTCCAATTGTTAACTGGACTTCAATCAGGTGTTACTCGAAATGCATTGTGCAAGCCTTGAAATTAGTTACGAAATTACACCACTATCACATACACACATACATACATATGCCCGCATAGACAAAGCATACAAGAGACAGTTTGAGGTTATGTTCACATGCCGCTACATAAGTCTTGTTTTTCATGTTTGTGTAATATTTTAGGCTGATTATAGTTGTTTCGCGTACTTACCGGTATACAAGGATTGACTAACACCATAGGCAGCAGCGCCAACAGCCGCCAATAGCTTCAGTCCAATGCCCAGACCAGGTGGGCCACCTTTGCCCAGCTTGCCCGCTAAATCATTGAGTTTGCTCTGTGCCATTGTGTGTGTGCTATTTGTAGAAAGTAAAACGTTTTGTTACACAATTGCTAAATAATTTAAAGCAGACACACTTTGTTGAAAAAATGAAATAATATGAGTTTTTCCTTACAAATCAGATGTGTGAGCAAACCTTACCGCACGCTATTTACTTGTGTCAGTGTGTAATTGGTATCGTTTCCATGAACAGCACTTATCGATAGCTATCGAACAATGTCACTCAATATATATATCGAGTATTTAGGACAGTGACAACTCTGCGTGTTTCGCGCCAAGTGATTTTTTACTTTTTGTTTATTTAATATAATATAATGTACAATCAGTTCATTCATATATAATAAAGTGTTAAAATCACATAAACTGTGTCACATATTCGTTACGTTATGCGGCTCATTGCGGCCGAAGTTCGTGTCGCGCAAATAGTGCACCGTGGAATCATTTATAAGTGCCATAACAATTGCTTTCAAACCCAAAATGGAGGCCAATTTATATTTCAATGTAACGGATCGAATGAGCTCCACCAAATGAGTTAGGGATACATCATGTTTGGCACTGGTTGGATTGTTTTGTGTGTGCAATATATAGCTGAAATGGAAGAGACTGTTAGAGGAGAGTCGCTAAGGTGAGTTTTTTTTTATATTTTAGTTACCCTTTGACCACCTGCTCAATAACACTGTCACTGATGCGTTGATGACTGAGATATTGCTGCAGATAATTGGTCCTTTGCAGTAGCACAAATTGCGATAACAATGCTTCACTCCAGTTAATATCGTAGCCATAGGCGCGACTCAATATGAGGGTTTGAGGTACGCTGAGAGAGATAAATAGATAAATTTAGAGATAAATATATTGTTATATAAATTCGTGGATAAATTATAGATTAATAGAATAATTATTGTAAATGATTAATAGATTTTCCAAAGATTCATATTAGGCAAGTCTAATTAGATATGCAGTGCTGTCAATAATCTGATTGGTTTATCCAATTGGAACGCACCTCAGTTGCTGATTGACCAGCTCACGGAATTGATCGCGTGTCTGCACGCCAATGACACTGATGCAGAGTGGCAGGGAAGAGCTGATGCTGCTGCTGCTATTAGCTCCTCCTGCTGCTCCGCCGCCTCCTCCTCCCTTTCGCTCCATCGCCTTGTTACACAGATCCAGTTGCATGGCCATCAGCTCGGCGCGTGCCACGCTCTGCTGTGCCAATATCAGTTTGTTGTCCAGCAAATAGTTCTCGGTGGCGTGCGTATAGTTCTCCAGTGCCTGCTGCAGCTGCTGTTGCAGCTCGTGGCTGCACTTGAGCTCAGTTGGGCCAGCGCTCGCGGTGCTGCGCACTCGCTCCAAGATCATCTGCGCCTCATTCGACCACATTTCCGCCAGCTCCTTGTACATGAGAAAATGATGTGCAGCGAGACGCAGCAGCTCCTTGCTATTCTTGGGATTGTACTCCCGCAGATAGCAGAGTATCGCCTGCCTCAGTCCACTCTTCTGATCCTCGTCGAATTGGCCCAGCAGCGACTCGAATTGCTCGTTCTCAATCAACGCATCGAAGCAGTAGAACATCTCTCGGTACCGTGCAATGCCAATGAGCAGGCGAACGATTAGGGACCACGACTTGGCCTTGGTTAGCTGGCCATTCAGCTGTTTGGCTCGCTCCAGCACATTGGCAATGCCCTCCATGGAGCACTCGTGCACAAAGCACAAATGTGCCTTGATCAGGAGCTCCACATAGATTTGATTATGTTTCTTACTCGAGAGAACCTGCGGAATGCCCGTGGAGCTGACCGCATTATGAGTATGCGGCAGCCCGTAGAGTGTTATGATCCCGGAGAGCAGCTCGAAGGCCTTGCTCTGCACATAAGGCTTGTTGTCCTGATAGCGCCTATAGGCCTTCAGTGCATCACAATACTCCAGCAGGCAATTGCCCAGCAGCGTAGTGTTCGGAGTCAACTCCAGAAACAGATGGAAATCCCGATCGATATTATGACCCCAGAGGTCGGCGTTGCGCGGAGCATTGCGTGGCTGCTGACTGGCATGGAAGATGTAGAAACGTGGACGCAGAATGCAGGTGGTTAGCTCCAGAGCAAGGGACTCAGCGATCTGAAAGGAATGGAAGAAGGATTAGCAATTAAATATAAGAGTTGTATATGAGACAATAAGATTAGAAATGGGTTATTTAATATAAGACTTGTATAAGACTCAATATGAGATTGAAGATTAAGGATTGAAGGATTAACAATTGAATGCGATATTCAATAAATATACTTAGCAATAAATATAAGCTTTGTATAAGACTCTACCTCTTGCGGTGTTAGCCTTGTGGAGATGTGTATATCGCTGACCACTAGCAGTCGCTGCAGACACTCCTCCTCGGCGGCGCTCTTGAGCAGCACGCTGACATCTTTGGTGCGCAGCACATCCAGATACTCCTTGTCCAGGTACATGGCCGTGCGATAGGCCAGCACAATGCGTCGCCCCAGCTCGACGCCGTGCTTCAGCTTGGAGCCAATGCCCAGCAGCGTTTCCAGGGTCTGTTGTTTCTCCTTCGAAGGAATCTCCTCGAACTCGAGCGTGGAATAGCTGTCCGAGAGATCGCTGCTGCAGCGATTCATGGGACTCTGATTGAGCGTCAGACGATTGAACTTGGGAAAGGCGCTCTTCTCGATGTCGCTCAGCAGCTGGCGCTCCTTGTTGGACAGATTCGCGATGCTCGTCATGCCCTCGGCCAGAGCCATGGCAAAGACAATGAAGCGCAAATCATTTGGGCGAAACTCAAACAGCTCCTGCAGACGCAGTGCCTCCACAATGTCTCCTTCATCCAAGAGTAGATTCAGTAGATCAATCAAACGCTGCTCCATCTCGGCTGTGAGATGGGTTTTGTTGGCTATGCTCAGGTCATCGATGCCAGCCAGTTCCTTGAGCTCCGAGAAGGATTTGTAGAGCACGCAACGCTCCTGTCGCATTATCTGCTCAAAGTACTCAGAATGATAGATCTCCACAGTTTCCAGCTGCTCCGTCTCCAGCTGCAGATAGCAGACGACCATATCGTACTCTATCTGATCCCTGTCGAAGGATTCGTTGGGGAACAAATGATGCTGCTTGATCACTCCCAGCGAGCTCTGCAGCAGCTCGTAGCGACGTCGCAGCTGCGTCTCCGGCTGCTGGGCAGCAGCGGCCTGCAGCAGGAAATTCACCAGGATTGCTGGCGGCAGAGCATGCTGCTCGATCTCCTGCTCATATTGCTCGTGCTGGCGCAGCTCACCCGCCTCCAGCTCGGCCAGCCACTTGGCATAGACGATGTCCGCCAGCGGCAGCTGCAACAGCGTCGCCAGCTGCAGCGCCTGCTCATAGGCCTTCGCCTCGGTCAGCGCATCCACCAGACGCTTATACTCCAGGCTGTCGCGCCGCACCAGTTGCTCGTAGTCGATGCCCAGCTGCCCTAGCCAGGGCGCCGCCACGCCAAAGATGCGATGCAGCAGACAAAAGTCCAGCAGATCGCAAATGTCGCCCACATCCGAGCGGCAGATGCACTCCAGAAACTTCTGCTGCTGCAGAACGCAGTCGAAGTTCGTCTGCAGCTGCAGCAGCAGCAGCCCAATGCAGCGCTGCATCAGCTGTTTGCGTGGCATCGGCTCGCAGAGCGGCAGCTGCACTGCATCCTGACTCCAATTGCAGAAGAATTGACGCAGCTCCAAAATTGTTGAATCACTAAAGTCCTGGCGTTGTGCGGTTAGCTGCAGAAAGCGACAGAGATGTAGGAAGGCGCAGTGCTGCAAAGGGATAGAGTATACGCATATGAAGGAGGACAGTTGGCAAACGGAAGGACGAAGTAAGATTCTCGAGGATTACCCCTACTGGGTTACTACTTACTGGCTGAAATATGCAGAAGCTGTGCAGCAGCGCATTCAGCTGGCCCGCCTTGACGGCGCCACTGATGACAAACCAGATGAGCTCCGTCTGCTGCAGCGGCTCCTTGGCTTTGCTGCACTGCTGGAGCAGCTGCGGCCACTGTCCGCTGGCCACGACCAGCCACAGTAGCCAGCACCAGTCGCGATTCTGTGCGCTCAGCGTCGCCGCCAGGACGGCCAGCACGGGCATTTGCTGGCGCACACAATGCTTGAGCAGATTGAGGCTGCTGCAGTGATTGGTGCTGCTCTGCATCAGCTCCACGAGGCGCGCCAAACTGCCAATGGACTCGTCCGGCAGACTGTTGCTGCTGCACAGCACCAGGGCAAACAGATCCGGCTGCGCATTGTGCGTGAGCAGATTGCACAGAGATTGGCCATTGAGCTGCTGGAGCTGCTGCAGATTGCCATCCAGGCCGGAGCTGTGCGAGGAGTTGGTCATGGTCTCTTGTGAGGAATGGGCGGGTCCATCGCTGCGTCGATTGACCGCGCGCTTGTGCTGCCGCTCGTGGCTGCACTCATGGCTGAGCGCGCGCAGCATATGAATGCCCAGGGACTGGCACTTGAAGTGCGGCAGGAGTTGCTTCAGCTCGGTGAGGGGCAGCTCAAAGTACTGGAACAGCAGGAGCAGCTGCCACCAATCGTTGTGTGCCGCAAAATGCTGTAACAGCGCCGTCGGCCATTTGCCGTGGACGTTGCGGGCCGCCAAGCGCATTAGAGCCTGATAGGATTCCAGAGGAAACTGCTCCGGTTGCTTGACCAGCTGTCCCACCAACGCCTCATCCCATTGCTCCAGCTGCTGCGTATAGCTGTCACATGTCGCAGTCGGCGGCAGCTGCCGCTGCAGGTGCAAATAGCTGCGCAACGATTGCGTATCAAAGTCCAGCATCTCACAGCAGGCGACGCAGTGGGTCACCAGCTCCTCGTCGCCGGCATGTTGCAGCGCCAGCTGCGTGGCCGTCTCGCACGCATGGAAGAGCTGAGTGCGCGTGATCTGGCCATACAGCTGCAGCTGCTCCAGGATCAGGTAGTAGACGGCATACGCACTCCGCTGCTGTTTCAGGTAATGGGTGTAATTCAGCTGCGCCTTTCTCGCATAGCGCTGGCTCAGCCGGGTGTTGGAGAAGCTGAACAGCTCGCCATGGCCGGCAGCGAGATTCACCTGCTTGAACTTGTGGAAGAGCTCCTGGGCAGTGGGCACAGCGGTGCAGCCATTTGAGCCATGATTCTCGAAGCGTTGCATCAACGAGTTCAAATAGGGAACGCGACGCAAATTGCTGGAGG